TTAATTTAGTACAAGTTTTATTATAATATTGTTTAACGTTTTTAATAAATTTTTACGCCGTACCGCTGACGCGCCCCGCTGTACACTTTGATTTGCCACCGCTGTCGCTTGTCCGTCGTTGTCGTCGTCCCGTCACTACTACGTTGATCAACATTCGACATCAAGTAAGTGTGCAAAAAAACGGCAACCGCGGACATTCAAAGTCATCCGAAAAAACTGTTATTACGGTACTTTCGGTTTTTAAGATCTTCCGCCTACACGCTTATCTGCCGCGGACACCAAAAACGCCTTAGCCGGCTGCTACGTGTACGTTTTCGTGGTGTCCGCGCGAGGTTTTACCGGGCGATCGGTCTAATAATTGTCCGAGTAAGCTAAATTTTGAACCATTTTACCGTAGGTACCTACCATGTCACATAGCTGTTACCGTCACTGATGTATTGTTAGTTTAAACGGAAAGAACTTTGGTAAACCCACAGTGGTTTACCGATTCCTTGATTCCTTCGTTTCCAGAACAATATTTACCCCAAACCGCCCATTGCCTATAATACAGGTTCATTGCGCCTTTACTTTGTCTATATTAAAAATTCAATAGTTCATATGGTTTCTGTATCGCTACAGACAAAAATGACAAAAATTGTATCAGTCGTGGTTATCGATTATTCGGTTTATGTTTAGATATTATTTATAACTACCTATATATGTCTATTAACAACATTTAATACTTATATGTATCTATTAATGACATTTAATTCCTATAGTGATCAATACTCAAAATCAACACTTTTATATTCTCTTATTTTATAATTCATTATTCCACTTGTATTCTAATATTGTTACAGTTAAAAATTTGTATTCCTAAAATAAATGGCCTAATTTATGTTCATAAATTTAAAACTATGCCAGAAATGTCTAAAATTGAGTAAATTTAATCCATTTAATCTATCCATATCTATAAAGCTTACTATTATGAAAGCTTCAAAAAATTAGAAACTTATTCCTTCAATGTGATTCTTAAAAGTTTCTGTGATTAACTATCTTTATAAATAACTCGCTAATCTATTATGTATTAGTACATATCTATTTGATTATTTACATAAACCTATTAATAGTGTTTGTTGGTTATAATTTAAATGTACATTTTTGAACTTATAATTTTTACAATTGTTTTGATACTTCTATGAAGAAAACTATTGGGCAATTAGTTAAAACGGTTTACTTATTTGTTGAATTGGCTATTTTTGTGCCAAACAACAAAACAATTTGATTAAGTTAATTATAAACTATTCAGTAATGTTAAATTGTGTATTAAAATAACAATTTTTATTTAACCCAACCAAACAAAAATTTTCAATTAGTTAATAGTAAGTACCTACTTGTAACAAATTATTGTTGAAGAAATACTTCTTAACCATATGGTAGCAGTAGAAAATTTCCATTTCATAAAATAATTTGTTTAAATTTAATTAAATGTCTACTACAATTATTATGATTTAATCATATTGATTTTGTAATTCTATTAATAATTGTTAATTCCCTGTGTATTACATTGAATTGTTTAAATTATATCAATATTAGGTAGGTCATTAGGTATTGATCAAATTTTTAGCATATGGTTTCTATTTTTATTAAATTTGTATAAACCAGTTATATAGACATTTTTTTTTTTTTTTAATTTCTCGCAGTTGCCATTCATCTATTTTATCTATTTATTTTTAAAATTTAAATCTTATGTAATCGACTGTTTACATTGCTACTTAAAAAACGTGTTTATATAAAGTATTTTGATCATACTTTTATATTTCTTTACTGAATGCTAAATCTAGTCTTAACAAAAATCAACTTCCATTCTTCCAAACATTATTTTCTCTTTAATACTTAAATAATCAAAATTTTAATGGAGTCTGCATGTAGGTAACAGTTTTATCTCAAATTTTAGAATTAATTTTTTATTAAATCATTGAAATACTGCTGCCGTTTTTTAATATACCTATGTTGGTACTTTTAATTTTTGTAATATATCCATTGTTTACAAATTCATTACAATTTCAGTATTGCCAAACAATATAATTTTATTAAGTTATTTTTACCTAATGAAATGGAAAACAAAATGATCTGATAATATTACTAATTTTTATTTTATTATTTTTAAGGATGGGGAATGTTTTTGCAAATCTGTTCAAGAACTTGTTTGGCAAAAAAGAGATGAGAATACTCATGGTAGGATTGGATGCAGCTGGTAAAACTACAATTTTATATAAATTGAAATTAGGTGAAATTGTTACAACTATACCAACCATTGGTAAGATTTGTTTGCTGTATATTATTATGATCTGTGGTAAAACTATTCATATTTATAGGTTTTAATGTGGAGACTGTTGAGTACAAAAATATAAGTTTTACGGTATGGGATGTTGGTGGACAAGATAAAATTCGACCCCTATGGAGGCATTATTTTCAAAACACACAGGCATGTACTTTTATTTTTTATGCATCTATATTGTTAAAAAATTTATCTTTTATTTTAATTAAATTGTGTCTATAAAAAAAGATAATACAGTGAACCTTGTTTAAATGAAAACTTAAAATATTAATTTACACTGTGATAGGTTGATAGGTGTATGTTTAGTTGTATAAAACAAATTATAGTTGTCAATTGAATGATACAAATTTAAGAAATTTAAAAAAAAGATACACTAACAATTTAATGGATTGCGATAACATATTATACATAGTATTATGTACTAGATTAGAAAAAAAAAAAGGTAAAATTATTTATTAAAATAGCTTTTTTTTGAACATTTTTTACTGAAATCAAATTATTTTAAGAGCATTCAAATTTTAAAATCTTTATATAACTATTCCAGTTTGAATGAAATAATAGACAAAAACAAATTATATTTTTAAATCATTAATTTATTTCATAAAACATAAATTAAATTATGTTGTTACTTTTATAATGTAATACAATAAACATCTCAAAAATTATACTTACTCCATAATAAACCTAGTTACAATATTTTAAAAATCATATATCTACATTCAATCGAAAATTTTGTTTTAGTTGATGACCTCCCGAAAGGTACGGATTCCCTTGCACTAACATGAAACTTGATCATCGTGTTCGTGTCGTCCTGGTTTATTCTAGACGATTCCACACAGCGATTGAAAGACATATTAAATAGTTAAAATTATTTAAAGTGCTTGTTAATGTACTATGTTTATTTTAAATGAAGTACTTTATTTATTAAATTTTATACTAATATATTTTAATTAAATACGCGTCATATCTAATTACAGGTATAAAAAATTGTGAAATTTTGAGAATAAAAATACTAAAGATATGCGCAAGGGAAATCACAATTTAACAAATTAATTTAAATTCTACACTTTATTTTATTTTCGGAATAATTTATTATTTAAATTATTATATAACTTTTTTATAAATTCTTTAAATTTGGGTGTCAGAGGCATGTTTATCACTATATTATATTTAATTATTCCATTTAGGTTTATTTGTAATAAAATTAAAATATAAATTATGGCTAGTGATTTATTAAAAATTGAACATGTTCAGTTGAAATAGTAAATACTAATATTAGTATAATAGTATTTTACTAATTTTTGGGTTACACGGAAAAATGAATACAATTTTGAGATAATTTGTTTTATTTATATTTGATTGAATAATGTGTCATTTTTTTCAATTCTATGCAGGGTTTGATTTTTGTAGTAGACAGTAATGATAAAGAACGTATTTTTGAAGCTAAAGAAGAATTAATGAGAATGCTTGGTGAAGATGAACTTAGAGACGCTGTATTATTGATATTTGCCAACAAACAAGTAAATAGTTTTTATATTATAATAACATCAATTATTAGGTGTCTATAAAATTACTATTATTTACAATCTTTTTAGGATTTGCCTAATGCCATGAATGCATCTGAAATCACCGATAAACTAAGCTTGCATACGCTGCGCAATCGTAACTGGTATATACAAGCAACGTGCGCAACTAGTGGTGATGGTCTATATGAAGGTCTTGACTGGCTGTCAAATCAATTGAAAAATGCCAACCGTTAACCGACTCCAGACTACATTATTATTATAAATATTTAAATAATATAAAAAAATTTAAAAAAAAAAAACTTAATTTGTAATTCGTGAAAACAAACTTAAGCATAATAATATAGCAGACTAATGAAATTTTTTTTACTCTAGCAAAATTAATATTGTCAAATGGGTTCCTCCTTTTAAGTAAACCATTAGTCTTCATTCACAGTTGTAATCAACCATTTAATAAGTTTTATCATCAAGTTTAATGATCAAAACTATTTTAATGAACTGTTTGACAACTATTAATTTTCAAAAAAATATAATAAAATTTATTTAAACAAAAAACATAATGGTATATAATATAACATAATTACTATTGTATCTTTCCATTTAAGCAAAATATTTTATAACTGTATTTTGTCTGAGTTTTATAAATACAGAAAAAATAATTGTTATGTTGATTTCCACACATTAATATTATTATTTTAGCTTTAATTTGGAATTTTATTATTTTAGCTTAAACACAATTTTTTTTTTTTTAGTGTATACATTTTTTTTTATATATAAAAGTTATATTATACCCAAACCCGCTATATAAAAATAAATATGTATAATTTTTTTCTTTATTATAAGTTATACAAAAGCTGAATTTTTTTTGTAAATAAAATTTACTATTTATATTACTATTTAAAGTTTAAACTGAATGTTTGAATTTGTTTTAAAAACATCGGTATGTAATATGCCTTGACCGTCTGGTATTAATAAGTAATTGTACATAACTGATATAATGAGTTATTATAAAAAGTACATGTTTATAGTAAATTTAAAAACAAAGAAAAGTAATCGATTTATTATTTATTTCTGGACAAAATCAGTTTTTAACACATTAGTGTGATTTTAGTGATGATTCGAACACAACATTCCATATCAACATTGATAATAATATGATAGGTGAATGTTTGGTTCACTTAAAACAATTTTGCTGTCCTTAACAAATGAGCGCTGTTTCATAATTTTTTGGTGTTTGTATCTAATTAGTTTCCTTCACTAGTCTACTGGTCAATGATATTTTTCAGAGTTGTTAAACCAAGACTGTGAAAATCAAGACTTACCTATAATGAGCTATTATATTTATTATTATTATTATTGTTTATTTTTTTTTTTTTTACTATTCATTAATACACACAATCTTCTTGTTATTGGTTATTGTATTAACCCTAAGTTTATGTCACAAAAAACCTCAATATAAATGTATTTCTCATATAAATTTTCAAATATATGTAAATATATACTTTTTTTTCTTTTACTTTGAATCGTTTCATTTAATGATAACCAAACATTAAAACAGTGCAATTTTGGTTTTGAACATGTATATTAACTTTTTAAGTGTTTCACTAATTTGTTGTCTAAATGTCTAATTATTCATCGTATATACAATGTTATATTATATTCTGGTTAACTGAATAATATAATTTGATATTCAATACTGCTGTTCACTTACATAATATATCTATAAAAAATTAATTTCAAATAACTAATATAAACAAAAATTTCATTACAATATTTGTACGAGTTGTATTTTCTTACACATATTACTAGTGATGCACAACGATATCGGACCAATTTTACCGATATCGATATGACTATATTCTATTGAATATTTTATTGATATCAGTACGATATCAATTCATTACAATTTGAAATTTCCGGTTTCTATTTATATAAGTTTTGACAGTGAATCAATGTCAAAGAATGATTAACTATTAATGATAAGCAATACAATAGGCCCCTACAATAAATCTATATAGCTGACTGTACAATTTTACTATTAGTCTCATTTTTTCCGTCATCTATGTCGAGTTAGTACATTGTTCTCTGATATTTAAAATTCATTCAATTGCATTGAATTAATTAGCAATTATAAGTGGTTTTAACTGTTGCAAGATAGCTTCAGCTATTGATCCTAGATACTACGAACTTAAATTTTTATCGGATGACCAAATAACTTTAGTCTGGGAAAAATTAGAAAATGAAATGATTCCATTAACAGAAATAAATTGTGATGAAATGAAGCAGTCGAACCACCAGCAAAAAAATACGATCTCATACCTGACAGTGACGAAGACGAAGGAAATGAACTTCATAAAAATAAAAATATGACAGATAAAATAAATCATAATCAAGATCCATTATTACGATGGAAATACAATGGGAAAAATATCCTGTAGTTTTACAGATGGCAAAAAAATATTTAAGTGTAACAGTTACAAGTGTTCCTTGCAAACGCTTGTTTGGTGAAGCTGGTCAAGTCATTATCAAAAGAAGAAATCGCTCATCACCAAACAGAGTAAATCAACTACTTTTTTTAAATTCATATTTAAAAGAAAAATATATAACAGGTAACGTAATGCTATGAAAAATATTTATAACATGTTTTAGTTAAATACTTATTAATTTTAAATTTATGTATATTTTCAAGAAGCAATTATACAAAACTCGGAGGTTCCTATGGTAAATGAAAAGTAAATAAATAATAATGAACCTGTAATTTTTAATTAAATATTTAATTTTTGTTTAAAATATAATATGAACACTTATTTTTTTAATGTAAGAAATATCAGTTCCGAAAAAAACCGTCAATAATTTTGTATTCAGTATTGTTTTTACTTTTATAAATTATATTGATATGTCGTTTTTCGATACAGATATAAATGAACCGATATGGATACTTAAAAATTTATTGTTGTGCGTCACTACATATTACACAAACAAATAATTGATAAGCTATTTCTAAAATGATTATAAATCATGGATTTTCGTTTTTAATCGTGGAAACAAAAAACAGGATATTTCACGGATTTCTAAAATGAGAGTTGTAATGACCATTGCGTAATAGATCCTAACATTTTGATAAATTGATTTCTAAACATGATTTCTGTTTGTATTTCAGTATTGAATAAAGAAGTTTGAAATTTTAACAATACCAAATATTATACCTACAGTAGTTTCTAAAATGTTAAAAATTGTTCTCCTATAGAATGGAAGCATATAAATCACGCACTATAAATGATGAAACTTACAATGATACATGTTGACTGACCAAAAAAACCAAGCCATTTACTGTTGAACATAATACATAATAACAGTTCCAGAATAATTGTCACACCACTACAAAAAAAATAACAAGGTTGTAATCTAGAAATAGTATCTATAATTCAATATCAAATATAATAAACAATTGATTTTAATATATATTTTTTAATTAATAAGAGTTTGTCAAATAATTATGATTTATAATTTTTCAAAGTTTTATTCAGAAATTAAGCTTATAAAAAAAAACAAATATATATATATAATATGATTATAAGGTATGTCTTAAAACATATTTAATTTATTACTGAAAAAAGTCAGATATTATTTTTTAAACTATGTTTAATTTATTTAAAAAAAAAAATGAAAACCTAATTTTACTGAATTTAAAAAGAAGAACAAAATATCGGCAAGGAATATAGTTTGACATTTATTTCCAAAGTTTTTTGATGGACATATTCTTTTCAGAGTCTTTTTGCATAACTTTAGCAACGGCCATTTCAAAATCATCTTGTGTAACGTGCACACGTCTTTCACGCAATGCATACATTCCAGCTTCTGTGCATACACCCTATGATTTAACAAAAATTGAATATTTTAAAACAGTCAACATAAAACAATATTTATACAGTTATGCAATTGTGTACCTTCACTTCAGCTCCAGAAGCACCTGGCATAAGTTCAGCGATTTTTTTAAGATTTATACCTCTAGTAAGGTTCATTTTTCTTGAATGTATACGCAAAATATCCCAACGAGCCTCTTCATTTGGAGGTGGGAATTCAATTTTACGATCAATACGTCCAGGTCGTAATAATGCGGTATCCAAAATATCGATACGATTAGTTGCCATAATAACCTAAATTAAAGCATAAAAAATATTAATTATATATGATTAGGTTCGTTGGCAATTAATTGAACCTTTATGTTCTTAGTTGCTTCGAAACCGTCGAGCTGGTTGAGCAATTCCAACATAGTTCTTTGTACTTCAGAATCTCCACCACTACCAGATTCAATACGTGATGATCCAATAGAGTCAATTTCGTCCATGAAAATGATGCTTGGCGCATGCTCTCTATAGTTATACATCAATTAAATTTATTTAGTAAATAATATAATACAAAATAAAAATAAGAATATTATACCTAGCCATTACGAAAAGTTCTCTAACCATTCTCGAACCCTCACCAATAAACTTTTGTACAAGTTCAGAACCAGAAACTCTAATAAATGTGCACTCTGTATGGTGAGCCACAGCTCTAGCCAATAAAGTTTTACCTATTTAAAGAGAAAAACAAATAAACAATAGTTTAATTAAACAATAGATTATACTTACCAGTTCCAGGTGGTCCATACAATAGTACACCTTTCGGTTGAGCAATACCAAGGGCATCGAACAATTCGGGATGTTTTACTGGCAACTCAATGACCTCTTTAATTTCTTTGATTTGGGTATCTAAACCACCAACCATTTCATAAGTGGAATCTGGAACTTTTTCTACCATCATAAGAGAAACTAAAGGATCCACCTGTATTTACATACAAAAAATAAATAATATATACGGATAGCCAAATTTAAGTTTTTATTATCAGACCTTATTGGGCAAAATTTTGTGTAATGTATAACTTTCATTACGCAATGCTACACGACAATTTGGTGTCACGTCGTTGATATCAATGTTCTTATCTATATCTACAACAAATTTTCCTTCTGGGTGAACTTTAACAAGCACCTTCTTTTTATCCATTGGCTTCACTACTTCACCGACATATGAACCTTGCTCTTGTAGTAATTGCAATTCTTCTCGTAACAATCTCACTGTAAGCAAAGATATATTTTTCATACAAACTGATCAATGGTTAAATCAATGATTACATTGAATTATAAAATTATACAAGTCTACCTTTAGCATTAAGCTCATTTCTCTGAGCTTGTAAACGCCTGAGATTCATACTTTTTTCTGCTACAACCAATAACAACTCTTCTATTTTGGTTGTATAGTATGATTTAAAACCATCTCCCCTTGAACTACTATTTTGATCCACATCCATGAACTAAAAATATAAGTTTAATAATATATAAACCTATCTTAAACATATTTAATTAGTTATTACAATTTTATAGCTATGGACCTCTAGATAGATTATTTATAATATTAAATACACAATATCAATTCAATACGTATTTATTTAAAAATCAAAATATTTTACTTAAATTAGGTACATTATTTACTCAAATTTGATCGGCTAATTAGTAATATTTTTTAAATCTAAACAGATAAAACTAAAACCTAAAAATTGTAGTTTTTATGCATTATAATAAAATTAGCAAATCTTAATCAAAAGTTAAAACAAACTGCTTAATTTTGTTAAAGTAAATTAAATTGAAAATGTGCATATAACTAAAACATAACACTAAAAAGTTAAAGCAAAATATATATACGACGTTCACTTACCATTTTGAAGATTTGTTACACACTTGAGTGTTGATTTAAATTGAGATTTTAAAAATATTGTGAATATAATGAATGCTCAAAATTAAACTAATCGGAAAAAAAAACCTATTCCCCTCGAATGTTTTGATTAAAAATCACAAAGATTGAAAGACACAAACTGACTTGTAATGGTTTGATATCAGTATAGTTTTATCCACGGTCTTTATCACAGAATTATATTAGAGCTTCTTTGGTCTATTAAAATATAATTATTGATTGCTCCATGAATTTTAATCATACCGCCTTCATATTTTTTTAAAAATCCGAAATTACATTATTTCATCATAGAATATTTTAAATAAACCATGATGTACATTTCAGAAGATACTTCTATAAATTACCATGCTCTTGATGTACCTATTTATTGAGTTTTCGTCTTTATTTTGAGAATACAAAATGTAACCAATTCAATATATTACGGTATAAGTAATCAAATTTTTTAGAAATTGAATGAACAATTAACAGTTAACAACGATGCCAATGGTTTTTAATTCGAATGAAATTTCGCTTCAAAGTTTCAAAGCGTTTGTAATATTAATAACATTTTTTAAATCTGATTAGAACGTATCTCCAGTACAAGAACATCAAGAACCGCTATAGAGTAACACTTCATTAATATAATATTATAATATAGTAATTCTCTCAATTACTCCGTAAAAACCACTATGCTTCGGTTATATACAAAATCTTTATATGTCTATTATCTTTGATCTAATCTACGAATTAAAATATAAATATATTATTTATATTATGCATCTTATTCATAGACCTTATACAAAGTATAAGTTAACTTTATAGTATAAGGCATGATCTCATTAAATTCATAGTCTAATCATACAATAATACAATGATACAATACACATTTTCATGGAATAAAATAAATCAATGTCTTAACATATCAGTGTTAACCGTGTACTAGAAAAAAAGAAAATACTTATACAGTGAATAGTGATAATGTCAAATCAAATATTTTTTTTTAACACGAACAATATTTTTTTGTTCAACAGAGACAAATTTCATTTTCATGTCAGTTTAATATTTTTAGTAAAAAAAAATCATGGATACTTATGAAAGTATATTATTGGTAAAAAATGAAGTTTTCGTCTTCAAAATACCACCACGAACCACTAACAGAGGATACAGGTGAATATAGTAATACATTTTCAGATTCTAATTGTCAATTGATGGACAGATATAAAAAATATTATCTATTTACTTTTGCCAACTCTCACTTTTATGTATTTTAAATGATTAGTATTGAATATTTGTTTTTAATTTAATTTTTTTAAATTAGGGCGGCTGATTGGAATCTAGCTGAACCGACATGGACTGGTCGCATGAGGATTGTGAGTGTAGGTGACGCATGTACTCTTAAACTCGAAGATCGTACCAATGGAGAACTATTTGCCAAATGTCCCATTGATCAGTATCCAGGTGTTGCTATTGAGTCTGTTTCAGATTCATCCAGATACTTTGTTGTACGCATTCAAGATGAAAATGGTATGTTTTTATTGACCTAATTTAAACTGTTGATGTTATTATATACATATATGTATGTATTTTATTAGGCCGTGCTGCTTTTATTGGTCTTGGGTTTGGAGATCGTTCAGATAGTTTTGATTTAAATGTAGCATTACAAGATCATTTTAAAAGACTTAAAGTGTGTGCAGAAATAGCAAAAGAAAAAAACGAACCTAAACAAGAACTAGATCTAAAATTTAAAGAAGGAGAAACAATTAAAATTAATATGAAAATTACTGTAAATATACATTTTCAAATATGGATACAATAATAGTTTTGTTTTATTAATGTTTATAAAATTCCATTTTTGTCTTAAGAAAAAAGATGGCAGTGAAGGTTCCAATAAGCAAGCTAAACCTCGTCCAACGTCTACTGGTAGTGGAGGATTATTGCCGCCTCCGCCAGGTTCATCTGGTGTAAAAATCATTCCAGCACCACCTTCACAAACATCGTCTCCATCGCATCAATCCAATACCAGTTCTAATAACTGGGGTGAATTTACTTCGGCGAATAATACTTCTCAATCAGGTGGAAATTCTAATCCTAACTGGGTGCAATTTTAAAGTTAACTTATTATGCCAGGTAACCAAATATTGGGTTTTATTATCATTATTATTATGATTATACTAAACATTTTTGTTATATTATAATTAATTTATTATTATTACTATTATTAATTGTTTATTCTTTTTATAAAATTTCAAAAATATTGTTATATTGAGTTACATATGATTATATTAGATATTCTTTGACACAACATATTATTTAGCCAATTTACATCCTATTATGTTTTTACTAAAATTATCAATATTTATTATATAGAAATATCGCGAACAATATGTAATTAATTAGTTCATCTTTATCTGATATAAATTAAAATGTTTTGTTATCTTGCTTGAATTCATATTCAAAAATGTTAAAAGAAGAAATTTATTTTTTTCGTTTTTAATAAAATTAATATTTAATTTTTAATATTATTATAAAGTCAAGTGCTATTCACCCTTTGAAACTGTAATAATAACTTTTATTAAATTTATTTAGTAATAAATAATAATACTAATATGATATACTACAATAGTATTATTTATAACAAAAACAGTATTTTTAATTTAATTTCAGTACTTATTTCATACCAATTATTAATTAATAAAATAATATACCATATTGGCAGTGTACAATATTTAAAAAACCATATTTTATTCCAGTTTATTCTCGGTAACTCTGTAAAAAAATTATTAAGATTAATACATAATTTTATGTATCTGTATTGTGCAATAAAATATAGTACGTACAAATTATTTATTTTGCATACGTTTTATTTATCCAATATGATTGCATCAATTTATACATTTTTTTCTCTTCTTAAGTAATTTTATTAAATCCAAAACTAAGTATATCACAAGTAGATTCTTAATTTGTTGGCTAATGTAAACATATTCTATAAGTTTATCTAATATTGTAATAAATTATATGTGAATTAGAAAGACATATTTTTTATTGATGGGTTATGCAAGTTGCTAAAAATAATGCTTGCTATTGAAACAGTGCTAGGTGATATCAGTTGAAAAATATTTTTTATATGTATTCCACGATTGTTAGGATATTCATACCTACAAATTTCAATATCTTACTATCTATAGTAATGTTTTTTATTTAATGCATTTTCAGAGTTAACTATGTACCTAAATATTTGTCATTTTGTAAACATAAATAATATTAATAAAAAGACTAATAAGTTAGGAATATTGATTATAAATGTACTGATTGATGCATCATTTAAATTTTATTATTATTATTAAATAACTACTGTAAAATGTGATTTCTTTATGAATTGAAAACAATTTGCTTTAATTTACGTTCAAGTTTTAGAATAATTAAATTAATCCATTAAACTTGCTTAGGTATATTTTAATAATTCATATTTATATATATATATATGTACATTAAAAAAAGTCTATTGATAAATAAAATGTATTACGAGTGATTATTTTACTATAATGCTGTTTGTTACTCATGTTTTGATATTTTCTTAGAGTGTTTTACATTTTAATTTATAAGCCTACTATTTTATTATATTTATTATTATAAATATCTGTCTCATATTGTAAAGTATTAATTTAAATTAAAATACTATCCAATTAAATACAGAATAATAAGACGTTAGCAATTATTTCCAAGTTAAATGTCGTCCATAATGAATTATGTGAATTATTCAATATATAAGCTGTTGTTATAGTAATATAGGTACTAAAATTATTATTGTGCTAATTATTTTTAAAATATAATAAACATGTAAACGTGCATGTAAAAAAAAAAAAAAAACAATTTTTTGTAAAATGAATATGCCCACACACATTCCTTATAACATTTTATAATGTATGCTACTTAATTTTTATTATATCTATCAACAGATTATATCAAAATTGTTAATAGTCTTATTGATCTTGGCTGATTACCAACCCATTTATATCTCAAAATGATTTATTAATTATTCCATTTATATATATATTTTTTTTTTTGTGTTTTTAACATGTACAATTTTTTATTGTTAGTAGTTGCTGTACAACATACAACAAACTATATTATATATTTTATTATTTTATCGACCATATAGAAAATCCGAATGTCTTGGTTTCAAATGTTTCTTAATATTGTAATATTTTAGTTTTACATCCATAATACTATAATGTACTTATTATAATGGTTTACAAATATTAAATTATTTGTTATTTATTTTTAAGAATTATAGTAATAAATTAAAATATTTGTTTTAATAACCCACTATATTGTTGACCGAAAATGTCTAAATGATATTACGATCAAAACATTTTCCATTCAGTCTATTTTCTAAATGTTTTTTATTACACCTTATAGCTTTTAGATCTGGAAAAAGATGTCAACATATTTAAAAAATGATACAAACTTGAGACTCTGTAGTACAGTGATTTTCATATTCGTATAGCTACCTTGCAGTAAAAAATATTGCTGTTAGATTCTCAATTTTGCTATTTTTTAACCACTGTTTGTGATACACCTATTAGGAATGATTGTGTATAAGAAAATATTGAACAATTTTTCATAGAACTTTTACTAGTTTATCCTTTATAGATTCATTGTTGTAAGATATCAGATTTTTAATTTTCCGATTGACAAACTAATGTTTTTTGATATTTTTTCTCAAATATAAAATCCAGAGATCAATCTGTGCCTGTATTACAATTTATTGTAGTCCAGCAATAAACCCCCAAGAATATTGTGTACTATATTTCAAAAATGTACATAGCATTAAGTTTAAAAAACTCATAAATAGTATGTAACTATAATAATAAGAAATTAGTATTCCTTGCTGAAAAATCAGTAGTTTTGAATATAATTATTTTTCAAGAAGTTTATCTTCCAAATAATTGTATTGTATTTCTTTTTTTCTTTTTTATTTGTAGTTTTATTTTCAAAAATATTGATTTGATATTTAATTATAATATTTTAAAAAAATTCATGTTTCTGAGTCAGGATGTAATAAAGATTGCGGGAAGTGCATTATAATATTTGCTTGATTAGAGTTGTGCACATCAAGACCATCAGAGGCGAAGTAGCTGGTCTGGAAATGTGAATTTTCCATATTGCTGGTAGCTTGATTATTTTATATGGGTAATATAATTCTTACTTGTAATATTTAAAAATGTAGTAAATATTTTTTTTATTATTTCAATAGTTGTTCAAATATTATACCATTGTTATCGTATCTATCAATTTGAATACAATGTATGTGCAAGCATTGAATACAAAATGTCAAAATATTATATAACCATTAACATTAATTAAAATAAAAACTAAAACGTGATGTCATGTGACGACTGGCTAGAAATCAAAAAAATGAAATATTTGAAATCAATGAAAATTGAAGAATTAGAAAAATAATTGACTAATGGATATTGAAATTCACAAAAGTATTAAATAGGTACTATTATTAAAGTATGTGTAAAATATTAAGATTAATAGTATTTATCAAAAATTTTTCGGTTTTCTTACATTATTAAGAAAAAAAGATAAATCAAAAGAAAATTTCCTTTCACTAACAAGACAAAATTATCTACTTGAAACCACTCTTGAAGTTGATGCAAAGCGAAAACTATTTAACAGAAAAGTATGACAGGTACATATTATATCATAATAAAATGAACTCGGATCACTCAGTGCTTAAAATGCATGAAGTAAACCATTTACTGTGAATATAACGTTGATTTTAATTCTTAAACTGATTTTATTCCCGAGGTTTATTATTACAACTAAAGTTAAATAATTTAGTTCAACAAAATAGAGATTATTTTTAACTATGTATTAAAAGCTAAATGTAATAATACAATTATTTAACTAGACTTTAAGAAAATTTAATATTGTGGGTTCAAATTAAAATGCCGAAATCGAGCGTAAGGGGACAAAAGTGATTGGTATTTATTTTATTGAGTCGCCTGGGTACATTTCAATCTCCCATCAATCTCCCAGATCAAAAGTTTGTTCCCACTCTGCCCCTGAAGACCATAATATATTGCCCGATATTGGATATCAGATAGGTATTTGAAATAACAAAACTATTGCCATAATTACAATATGATCATTGAGCGTTATTAATTGTACTCATTTTGTAGAACATTATTGCGATTTATATGATATTTACATAAAAAAAAAAAAAAAAAAATGATTAAAATATTAAAATTATTCATAATAATATTATACAAAATATAAAACCTTAGCACTAAAAAACGATATGGTAATGTAGCCAAAACGACGAAACCTTGTTCACCAAGGTCTCCATGTGGCCTTTTGGGCGACGTCGCGGAACTCTGTGGTGCGGGTGGCGACGACGGCGGCAGTGGCGGCCGTGTTAACGGGAGGAGTAGTAGGAGGAGGCCTTCGTTCTTCTTCGTCGTAATCGTCGTCGTCAGTGGTGGTCGCCGTGCTCGCCGCGACCGGCGATTCGAGGTGGCAGAATTCGTCGGAAGACGTCGACAGTCTCGGGTCTCGGGGCGCCAGTGACGGCGGCGGCAAGTCCAGCCGCTGTACGCACGCCTCCAGGTGTTCGACCATCCGGCACCCGGACAACCTGCGCTGTTCGTCCGTCCACTGTTCCGCCAAAAGCTCCCGGACCTGTCCCAAACATCGCTTGTACCCGGCCAGGTATACGTCCGCGACCTCAGGGGGGTTGGTGGTGGTCGTCGTCGGCGGAACCGTCGACTTCCGTTTCAGGTACCTGACCGTCAGCTCCAGAATGTCCGCTTTTTCCAATTTGTTCGCTCTGGTCATGTCTTGTCCGGACTGCGCAAACAAACAACAACAGTTTATTTTATTGCCGAGGCCGAAGACCGGCCAGGTAGATCGGCGATACTTATAGCCGGTTAACCGTGGTTTTTTTTTTGGTTGGGGGGAGAGAGGGTGCGTATTTGAGGGAAAATAATCCAACTTGCCCACCCGCCGAACTCCCGCCTCTATAGTGTTGCGAATTGTACGTAAAACAACAGACTTTAATGCGCACTTGTATATTTTTCCTACCGTCAACAGGTGGTCGCGGGGCGGCATTATACGCAGGTACCTGCCGTACAGATAAAACGGTTAGGAATTTTGAACGTGCACACGATTCATTAAGCACGGTCGCCCCATTTTCAGGGGTAAATTATGCACACACGCCAATATTCTGATTTTGGGCATTTTTATGTGGTCGAAGACGATATTTTCGTACACTTATTTAGATTTTCCACACAATTCAAGTGCCTATCCGGTTGGCAATACCAACTTTGGTTTTTCAAATGAAAACCTATAGGCATAAATTGAAAATTTCATATAGTCCACTTTTGAGTTTAAGCTAGGGATGAGTAATGGATCATAATGATTTGTGTAGCGTAACAGCGCCTGGTGTTTGAATAGTGCCGTAAAATGTTGAAAAAAAAATAATCGAAATATACAAAAATAACGTCGTTTACTATGTTTAAAAATTCCTAACATCAGAATTGTTTTATTATATACCTATGCATAATTTACCACCAAAATTGAGCGGGTAACCTTAATTAACCACTCTGTATAGCTGGGACATACTTTTTTTTTTTTTTTTCTGCAAAGGGGGACATTTGTTAAGCATTTCTTACAGCATTGTCCGAATCGCAAACAATAATGACGAAATATGCGGTTTTATTTCATTTTTGACAAAGTACCTACTATATTTTAGAAATTATATTAGATTTCGGTTTTATTATTTTTTTTTTCGATTTTTAATACAAATTACAATAACAGTTATGCGATTGTGGGATTCGTTATTCAAATGCCAAGGTTATTTGGTTGACAATTTTTTTTGTATGCCATACGCATAAACCAATCCCTAATAAAGAGCGACTGACACGAAGTTTTTGGTATTTTCGAAAAGAAAATTAATTTTTTTGTTGATTTAGGGGTAGGTACCTTGGCGACACGGATAAAAAAGAAAAACAGTTAATAATAATTTAATTTGCTCGTCATAGACAAGGAGTACGGGTACTCTTTTTTTTTTTTTTAAATTGCCGTGTAACAGCGATCAATAAAATTGTGATAGGGATGGGGGTGAAAGCGGAAAGTGTCGTTAAATTGAATTTATTTTGTTGATAGCCGTTTTCGAAAAGATAGACCCGGGATATTCGGCTAGAAAAATATTTAAAAATCTGCGTAAAATTGTGATGCTCGCGGTACGATTGAAAACTAAAACAGTACGAGTACCTACACTCATTGGTTCGTATAAACTCTTTCGATACCGACGGTGTATTATTGACTAGATAGTTTTTTTTTTATTTGTTTTAAATCGTTAAAATTATTCGTATTAGTTGAATAATGTTATTATTACAATTACGTATAGCGGACGTAGTCGATCGTCCGCGCATGCCGATAAAGTTACGAAAGGGGCGAAAAGAGGGGGGGGTATGTTTCATTTCCGATATTTTTGTTGTTTTTTTACTCCTAGTTGGCTGGCCACTGGAGAAAAATCAAAAAAATACGGTTAGGTTAGGTTAGGTATAATATAAAACGTGTCTAATTGAAAATAATTTTTTCGACGTTTGTGAAAAATTAATTTAAATATTTTACGATCGGAGTAAGTAGGTACTTGTTTTTTTTTTTATTTTCGACGGCCAAATCCTCAATTCTAAGTTTTCAATAATACCCCTCCGGTACGCCACCGTTTGAGGGAAGGATTGTACACTTAGGCACAGTGCGCCGTGGGGCACCTCTCGCACTTACACCCCCCCCCCTCTCACGCTAAGCTGTATTTATATAACCCGCAGAGGGTAAATCGCCAACGGAAATCGGCGTACAAATGTATTTTTAAAGGAAATCTTGATTATCGTTGAAAGTCGTAACATTCTGGAGTCCGGTGTACACAGAGGCTGATCCGTGCCCCCATGTCAATGGGCTACAGTTTTTTAATTTAAATATTGTAAATTATAATTTTATATAAGCACAATTTATAGTTAATTTACTGAAAATATAAATAATATAATGCCCTCCCCCCTCCAATTTAAAAAAAAATATCTGGATTCACTGGTGCGCATAATATTATAAACGCCGATTTACCCTCTGACGATATACATACGAAACGGTAGATTATTAGTTCGTCCGACTTACGCATTTCTCGGCTTGCACCACGATACGTTTGAGTTCGTCCAGACTTTGATTTATTCTCGCCCGTCGTTTCTTCTCCATCATCGGCTTCCGTATCTGAATAACACAAAAACGGATAAAATAAATAATCTTTACACCATCGTCGCGGTCGTTGATCAGTTATACGATAATAACGCCATTATAACGGTGACCGGTACCGAATCCCCGCGGGAAAGGTTGGTGGCGAACTTTGGACAAAATTTCGGGGGGGAGGTATTTGGGGTCGTATAGTAAAAAAACGCATTATCCGTCGCATATTATTTTACTTTTTTTTTTATCGCCGGTTTACTCGAATCGACGACTATCGTATATATATATATATATATGTACAAGGGGGGGGGGGTCCGAACCTCCGGAAAAACCCGTCCCGAGCGGGCCGCGCGGGACACAGAAAAAAAAAAATGAAAGAAAACCCGCAAACGCGAACGTGTGTACCTTTCGGGGCTCGATGAGTTTTCCTCCGGTTTTCTTGCTGCAGGACGTCGAAGATATATTTTCGTCCATTTCGTCGACGCCGGTCGTTAGGCACATATTAATATCAACAGACGGGTTACGTGTAACTGCGTGTTTTCCGAAATCCAACGTGTCGCCCGTATGGAAAAAAAATCGCGTCAATTTCGGGAGGGAAAAAAAAACTATCTGTCGAATCCACACGGAACTTTGCGGGAATGCGGGGCGGACGGCGAGCAGAACCCTCGGACGAGACGCGATCGGTGGGTACAGGCGCGCGCGTGACACTGAACGGCGAACCGGCGCGTCGGCGATCTCTGTTCTTCGAGGAGGCGGCGGTAAGAAGAAGCGACGCGGGCGTCGGCGGCGGCAGGAGCGGGCGTGTCGAGTGCGTCCGCGCCGCGGGGACGGGACGGGGCGCAGGACGACCGCCCCCGCGGGCGCGTCACAATACAGGTGAGTACCGTGTGTACCGTCAGTGGCGCGGGCGTGGGGCTGCAGTGCGGAGGACCGGGTTGGTTTTCGCTCGGGGCGCTCGGGAACACGACGACGTTGAGCTATCGATTTTTATCGCGGGGTTGTCGATCCTCGGCTAATGTGACGACCGCGACAATATTATTAACCCGGTTGCGGATGGCGAACGGGAACTGCACGATTTATCGGACGAAAATCGGCTTTTCCCGGATCGTTTTCGACGTTCTCGCCGTCGGCAGTGGCGTGCGTTTAATGTCGGCCGGATCTCGGTGTGAAAATATTGTCGAACGTTGATACGAGCCGTACACGGACCATATTGACGGAGACCCGTTTCCGCATAGAACATTAACGATGTTAATAATAATAAAAAAAAAAATCGACATATTTCGCACTTGGGTACAGCCACTATTGTAGCTGGGTAGTCGGGAAGTTAGGATACAGACGGGAATTTAATGTCTATATGTAAGCAACAAAGCAAAAAAGGATATCGAGCGTTGTTCAGTTGATTGTGTTGCTTTGTCAACAATACATATGTCATATTATGGTAAAATGATTACAACAATGTACGTTTCCACGACAACAATGATTGTTTAAAAAAGTTTAAAATAATAAAAACTTCATAATAACAAAAAATAAATAAAACTGGTTGCCAACGACCGTTTTATTTTTAATCTAGCAATCTTTTTTAATCTATAGAACCGAGTTTTTCTCATTATCTCGATTATTAATGAGAATTTCAAAAAAAGACCACCCAGAGATCATTGGTGAGAAAAGGTGATATACTTGATAATCGGAGTGGAGTAAGCTTTCTATTAGGAAAAGTGTTAACATTAAAAAAAAAAAAAAAAAAAAACATTATTAAACCAATACATTCCACGCTCCGCTCAGAATCTAAAATTTGTATAATAACAGAACTTTAATACTGTTGTACTATAGAACTATTATACTCTTATCGGTTTCAAAGTCATTTCATTCGGTCCTCTAGTGCTATCGGTAGTCTTTGTCTATCTCTGCCAGAATCCATTTTATCGATACTAACGAACACAATTTTTAGCCGTTAAGGTACGTAATGGCGTAATGCGTAGCTAAGTAGGTTTAGTTTCTTAATTTTCAATTATTAAACCATGTGCGTTTGACGTCTGACATCGTATTCTACGACTAATTTCTTAGTTCTCGTCGAAAACATTTTGATTCGTATTGTGTTGATATTTAACGCCCTAAATTTAGTTTCAACATTTTTCATAACGTAGTTATAAAAAAAAAAAAGAGACCAAGTGGGAATTTGATATCTGCAGATTCCATTCCCCGCCCAACGATTACGCCACCGATTTGTCGGTATCACAGAGAAGAAAACATTCTACGATTTATTCGTGATTATTGTCGGCTACTCTCATTGAAAATTTCCGGGCACCCCAGTGCGACGGACCGGTATCGACCGGTTAACGAATCACCAGAGTTTGTAGAGAACTCGTCAATACAAGGGACGAGGAAAAAATCACGTCGCCGCTACTTTGTCACTGCGACATTTGAGCAAAATATACGGTGACTCGTATGCTTGTTGGTTACCATGCGAATTTCGATAATCTTTTAAATTGCCGTAATCGCGTTACGTATTGATAATCTGGTCGCCGGTATCACCGGTCATCATCGGTCACCAGGTCGGAACAACAGGACGCGTCACGGTGACGTGAATTTTTGCTCATTATTCCATACAGTAACCGGTGGTCATCACAGTGTCACCAGTCACCATTAAAAGTCGCTGATAACCGTTGTTCGGCACTGTTGGTTAATCTCTTGACCACAATAATATTGCGTTTTCTATAACGCGTGTCTTATGTCCGGTCCCAGGTCTCAAGCGGATCTTTGGCGTGTTTGTTTTCTTTTGTAATATTCGAGTTACGAAATTTTTTTTTCTCCTTTTCCTCCCGCGTGTATTTAATTTCCGGTACGATTACGATTTCGAAACGTTATTAGCCGGCTATAACGAACGCGTCCCGCGGAAATACCTCGCGGGTAGCCGGTAAAATCCGCGACGTCGAAATCAATTATTTCGCCGTATCCGGTCTAATATGATATTTATACACATATACATATATGTATTTCGAAGTCATCGAGTCACAGTATGTTATAATATTATCGTTCCCACAATTCAAATTTAAATGTACAAAACAAAACGATTTGCCTAGTAAATAACCCCGGGAATTCGGTCTCCGAAAAAATAACCCCGCATTAATATTTTAATATTTTATTTTATGTCAATAACAATCATTTAATCCAAATTTCACATTTTTTTGGGGGGCATTTTACTACATGCAATGGCGTAACAGTATAAATACCAATATTTAGATTAATTTTAACTTTTACCCATTGCAATAGTGCCCATTACCCTTTGCAAAAACTCATATGGGGTTATTTTTTCGGAGACTAAATTTCCGTGGTTACTTTATCGTGCTACCAAAAATAACTGATACTGCTAATGGGTGCAACACTGTAGTATAGGTCGGAAGTTGGGAAGTATAATTTAGGTATGGGATAACATTAAGTTATTTAATTTGTATCTGTAAGCCACTATAAACCATTGCTAACGAAAATCGACTCTGAGCGAATTTCGTTTGTACACGATTTGAAAAGCCTATACATGATTATAAATAGCTCAAAAATCGCTCAAATGTCTGTCACACGTTCAAGTTTCTATTAATATTTTCAATCGAATTACAAAGAAAGAAAAAAATTAAAAATAAAAACATGGATGAAAGTACGCGGACGTATAAAATGCGCGCTTTGAGATGGACGTACTTTTTAACGAGCATGCTACAGCAAGAACACCAACGTTGATATGACGTTTGTTGGAGATTCTGAATGCATTAACAAATTATAGTACATTTACTACACAATTTCAATAGTAACTGGTAAACAATAATTTTTACCGTGTGTCACGATGAAATACACGTAATGACGTTTTACTTTTGGGTCTTTGATGTATTTATACCTTAACACAAAAAAAAAAAAATTATAATAATAATAATAAAATAGGCAATATTGAGTTCATCCGATTAACAGTGAACAGTATACTTCCCGACATTACGCGCAACCCCACAAGAAACCACGACACGATTTTGTATAATTTTTAATTATTTTCATATGTCCATAAGTTCGTTCGACGAATTATTATCGTATATCGAAAGTGATAGGACCTGAAGAAATAATTGTCATACTGTTGAGATAATTGTACACTCTATTTTACGGGTGTGTAGATTTCCCCCCTCCCCTCGAGCATTTTTGTGTTATTTAATTATCTGTGTGAAAACTTTAGGTAATGTTTTTATTTCTTAGATAATATTTAGTATACTTACATTGTAGAAAAAAATATAAAGCGATCAAATTTAAAATAATGAAAACAATTACGCTGTAAATCTGTCAGTTTTCATTTTACGTCTTTTTCCGATTTTTCCCAAATATTATATAAAAACTACTCGGAAAAAAAAAAAAACTTCTTATTTACTCACTAACTAGATTAAAAATGCGACTAAAAAGGTCTCGTAAAAATACGAGTGAATAGTAAATATTATACTAATTTAGGTTGAGTATATACACTGAGGTACCTGTATCATGATGGTACAATCCTAGTTTCTACCCCTTAATTGAGCTGTAGATTTGCCCATTGACTTTACCAAACCTACCGTATACAAAATTAAAAAAAATACATTATTGGATGATAACGCATGGTTTTAAACGCACGATTCGACGCGGCCTTTCAACATTTCGTTTCGTGACGATTATTGTCGGTGGCCATATCATAGGAATATTGTACCAACGACGCGTATCCCGCGCGGTTAATCATATCCATTCACCCGGCCAAGAAGTATACCTATACCGATGTAGGTATCGAAAACTTAAGTGGATGTTACTTTACATATATACACGCAGTAGAAATGTTTTGAAGAGGTATTTTAAACTACCATCATACAAAAATCTTGTATATATAGGTAAGGCATAAGTACGTAGGCGTATTTTTCGATCGTGTTTCGCTAAAACTCAATTGCCGGACAATCGCTTCGGAAATATTTCTTACAAAAATAATCACAATAATATCTCCGAACCGATTATTATCGAACGAATTAAATGTACCTGACAGATAGCGTGTTGTAGTTTTCGAGAGGTTTTATAATGTGTTTTTCTGCGTGGCGCAAAACAAGTGCTCAATTAAGAGGGCGTTGGTCGAGCATCTCGTAGACAACACATCGCTGATTTTTGATTCTTGTCGTACATGCATTGAATTCGGCATATTTTTTTTGATTTTCGAAAATTATCGAAAAACTTGTTATGAACGCACTACACTGAGATTTTACTTAACAAGAGATACCTAACGGTTCGGTATTTTATCAGCGTCGTTTTCGGTAATTCGTCTGGCGTCCGGCTTGGCGGCTCGGCTTTAGCTTCTCGGCCTTATCTGTTTTCACTGCGATTGGCTTTCTACCAGAAACAAAATATTATAATTAATATAAACCACATGATAAATCAACATTATTTAGTTTTCATTAAAATGTCGTGCGACCAGGACCAGGTGCGTTTACATAAATGTGTTTCAGGAGGAGTTTAAGGTTTTACACTTTCATACTCTTATAACCAAAACATTTTCATTCTTGTATAGGATTTTTTTTTATTTTTTTTCTTCTGTGGACAACTTCTACCTGCAATTTTACTTTGATATACAATTATAGCACTTTTTCTGACTGGGGTTGTACTTTAGAGTAGCCATTCTTTGAATTTTCCAAACAAATGGAAAAACATGGGAAAATGTAGGCATAACAAGTAAATAAGTACAATATCAAACAAATATTAAAGAAAATATGTAATGCGTATGTAATTATTTTAATCTAATATGATATACATGTATATATATATTATTGACAAAGCAATACTATGAACCGAACTCCGCTCAGAATCGTTTTTTCGTTAGCAATGTTTAATCGTTGCTTACAGATATACATTAAACTACCTATAACAGTGGCTATACTCGTCACCATTATCCTATGATATTTTACTGATATTTTTTTTATAATAGGTATTGAAAATCATTTTATATTACAGAAGCCGCGTGGCCTGTCCGCACGCCAGTTGGGACGCACCTTTCGGAAAATGATCACCTATATAGAAATTCCTAAATGGTAGCGTTAACTTATTTTAGTATTTGAAGCGAAATGTATAGTTTTAATAATATAATATCATCACTGGTCATTTTGACTGTGCCGTCACTGCTGCAGATTAAATCATTTACGTGTTTAAGACACGGTCGATTGTTATGCTTCGCTCGGTATATAATGTGTTTTAAATGGGTACACTTATCAAATGTTAATACATTTATCATGAAAAAAGCAAATAATACAATAATTGTTTAGGTATAACTTGTTTTTTTTAAAACCAACATTAAAATATACAAAACATAATTCTTTTTATATTTTTTAATTATTTTTCATTTTTAAACACCTGCAACAACAATATTTTATTAAGTCGCACATAACCCAAAAGACCAAAATATCTGAGAAAAACCGGGGTTTATCTGGAGTATCCGAAAAAAATGGAAAATAAAAGAATTTTAAAAAAAAATTCTGATAAAACCGATTTTTTCTCGATAAATTAAAAACAAATCGTTATTTTAGGAAAAATCAATGAAATAAAAGAGTGGACACTGCTGATTGGTAATCATAATTCGAAAAACGTTTCTGAACGAATTTCGGTTAAACATGCATTTCAATGCTTCGTTTTTTTTACGATTTCCATACAAATTTAAACTTTTAACACTCTATAATTGTAGATCCAAAACGCTACGAAAAAGGACTCTTGTCGTTTTTTTTGATCGGATCAAGGTTTCTGGTAGATAATTTGTTTACAGACTCAAACAGCGTGCACTAAAACCAAACACAATCCTACAAATTATTTTTTCCAATAATTGGGTTTTTCCGATAATTTTTACTTTCCACCGAAATTTTTTCAATTTTTTTCAGACAACCTTTTTTCATCCCCTTAGAATTTCGATCTTTATACGTAACCGTATATCCATACCGCGGCGAAATCCGAGATTCCGAGACACACTTCTTATTATGTACGCGGCATGCACGACACGCGTACTCCGGTAGTCCGTTAAAAAAAACTCGTCGTCACAGCGGCGGCTACGACATCGCCGGTATTGTTTCGGCGTCTGACAGTGGGCGTTATACTTCAAGTAACCTAACTTACTCGTAAGTATACATAATAATAATGTGTATGTGTGTGTGTGTGTGTGTGTATAGTATAAAACACACTCCTTCTTCTTTCTCTTCTTCCTAGTCTTTAGTATTTTTTTTATATTATAAAAACACAACTATACAATAATATTATATCGCATAATATAATATAAACATAATAATAAACCGACGGCGGCGTCGGTTGAGAAACGATTTTTGGAAGACGCCAACTGCACACACACACACACACATACACAGGCGCGCGATTCGTGTGTGCGATTAACGGTCGATTTTTCTTTTCACACAATGACAACGTCTTTTAAATAATACTCTCGTATAGGTACTATATATAATATTATATACTTGTATATAATATATAATATGAAAGGACCGTACGCATGAAATCGGAACCTGTTTCAAAACCGAAAAATCTCGAGGGTCTCTCCGGGGACGTGCGGTCGCCGCGCTGCACAGCCGAAAACGGTGAATGAAACGGCCGGAAATGCCGATCCATTCGTTTAATACGCTGCAGGGCGGTCCACCACAACCTACATACATACGCACACACCAAATATGTGTAGGTATTATCTTTTTTTCCTTTTTTTTTTTTCTTTCTCGTTCACCTGCTTTTTTTCGGTTGCTCTATACGAGTATATGTGTGTGTGTGCGCGCGCGGATCGGACGTTTGTATCGGATCTAATACGCGCGCGCGCATCGTTCATTCTATTGTATTGCCGTTTTCGTTTTTCCCGGGATACCTGCACGACGCACTCTTTATGCTATTATTCTAGACGAAAACGTACCTACATCCCTGCGGTGGCGGTCAACGTCCGACGTGGTGTACGTTGTATACCCACGACTGTTATAATAGGTATAACGACGATAATGATTATAATAGGCTTCGATAAAAAAAAAAAAAACCATTCGGTAGTTTTCGCGCCGTGCCTATAAATCTAACGTCAGGTCCGGTACCCGCTATATTATTATGTTCGTTGTGTCGGCAGTGTATACGTTTATGTGTAGGTGTGTATGTCCTCCGAGCTACTTCGTATATTATTACACTTCCTTCGTCCGCGTATACAGACACACTATAATATAACGCGGATCCGTATTGTTGTCGGACGATATAATATCACGAAAAAAAAAAAAAAAAAAAAAAAACCATTTTAAACGTTCACAGATGAGGTGCGATAACCGATACGTCGAATGTGCGGTCGTCAATATACGTCTTACGAACGCAAATTTGCGTTCAGCCGGACCAATTTGGTGCTGTCTTTTTGTCTATATGGACTTCTTAATACTGTTATAACTGAAATACTGAACGAGATGATGTCCAAAAACATCGTAACTGCTGCATCATATTCTAGGAGTTATAGAAGAGGTACCTATTTTTTGGAATTTTCAAGTATAAATTACAAAAAAAAAAAAAACAAACAAAATCAAAAATAACGAAATGGATAATGCCGTAACCTTTCTCGTTTTTCATAAGTATTAAACGAGTTATTTTCCGGTAATTTATTTTTGAATTGTCCGTGACAAACAGATTATCTAATAATAATAATTTTTCTTCTACTACGTCGCAAAATTCATCAAAAATAAAAAAATAAACAGACATGTAGACATAATAGACGCTGTACATCGCGCTCAGCCAAACAGGCAGACACCTTCCTTATATTAATAAAATGAAGTAACATATATTATTATAGATTGTAGACAGAAGCTTATTAGATACTGGTTTTTAATATAAAATATACATTTAAGGGAAGCTAAGTCCTTCATATCTCCATCCGAATTCTTCCCCTTTGAGTGATTTATAAAGTTATGAATCAATTAATAATATAACTTATAAATATAGTATAGCCAACTCTTTGTTTCCGTTAAACAAATTAATCATCATTATACAGACATATTTAACGGTACTCGTCAATTTTAAATTTTCAACTTCCAAAAACTTGTTTACTTTATTGGAAATTGGTTTCATTTGTATATATTTTTTTTTATTTTAATTTAAAACAGTACAGGCCTCGACTTGTAAAACATCAAGTGATTTATATAAATATAATTAATTAATAAATAAAAAAATTAATTTTTTTATTATTTATTTATTTTTAAATAAAAAAAAATAAGTTAAATAAATATAATAATATAAACATTTTTTTTACAGATATTTAGTTAGAATAATAATAATAACAGTAATAAAAATATTAAATAAATAAATAAAAACCCAGCTGAAAAATAATTTATGGATAGTTAAAAGCAAAGGGGGGTCCTCATTAGCAAGACGCATAAGATGATAGAGTGGGGAGTTTAGTGTATAATTAAAAGTGGAAAATGGAATAACAAAAGGACCCCTTACAAACCTAAAATGTCTAAATCCAATAAATGATGACTTACGCAACTTTTTAGACGAAACTCTATTTACGGTTGCTGCAGAAAAAATAACGTATATAAGACCATTTTTATTTAAATAATATACTACGTATATAAGACCATAGTATATTATTTTCGTAATGTTGATTATATTAAAAATATTATTTTCGTTTTTAACAAATATGACTTAATCTGTCCACGCAATCCAAATTCAAAAACGTTTGACTATGCACTCGCCGTTCTAAAAAACAATTAATAACTATGTATAAGAAGACCATTAATTGATAATGTGCCTTTCCTACTCTTTAATTGTACAATATTTATATTAACTTAACATAACCGAAGTTTTATGCAAATTTAGCAATCAAAATTTACCAAATTAACTTAATCGATATCGACGCACACTATTATGATAATTATAAAAGGTTTATAAAAATCATTTCAAACTAAAGGTCAAATTAATGTGAAGTTCAGTGGTATCAAATGTGGTATTTTTTTTATGATTTTTTATCAAATAGAAATTAAAAACAATTATAAAAAAAATAAGAACTGATACTATGGACGGGTTCCACCACTGTTGTAGGCGAGAAAGTGAGATGCATTGTTATTTAATTTATACTATAAGTTACGAAAAACAATGTAACATGACAGATTATTCAACCTAATAAACATTTGTATACACATGGCTACAGCGTTAGTATCAACAATGTGCCTTTTAAAGAGATTGAACATTAACCATACCTCTACCATTTGAATGCACAAGTATCACATATTTTTAGAAGTAGTATAATTATTATAGTACCTATAGTATTTTACTATTATATAGTAGGTATAATCGGTTATTTACTGTTATTCAAAGTGTATGTTTATAAAAAAAAAAATGTCTGGAAATTTGACTCTAGTCATGGATTTCTATTGCTCAGTACACACCGGTATGTTTTTATGCATTTTCAATTCTATCAATCAAATAAATGCGTTAACAGCTAAATATCGTTGGAGTTGTCATACCAGATTCAGTAGCGAATTGGTAGTATTCAGTCGACTGTTATAGAAAATAATCAGACCAAAAGACGACATTTTTACTAGTCCAATATTGACCACATCATTTGGTCATACTATAGATAATATTATAAATAAGCTAAATTTAAATTATTAAATCGTATATTCGTAAAATGTAGAAATATGCATTAACAAAACAAAATTAACGATGATAATAAGAAATATATGATATAAAAATAAAAAAAAAACATTAAAGATTACAAAATTAAAGTTTCACTTTTCGAACACCTATTGCATGAAATAAATGATGAGTCTTTCTATAGCTAATTTATGAGTAGGACTGGTTCGATACGTTGAGCGGAAAAACATATTTCGAATTCCAGTCTCGAAGGAAAACTTCTTCAAGCTGATCTCGAATGGTGTTATTATTCCTATGATCAACATCTTTAAAAACAGTACCAATACCTAGAAAAATATTTATAAAACTAAATACAGAACAGAAGACATTTTAAATAGATATGAACAATTTTTTAAATATCTTGTATTACCAGCTGTTTTGATAAAATAATCCTCGGACCAATTGCTGGTACCAACATAAGCTATTTTGTCTGTGACCATGAATTTGTCATGCTTAACTCGTGCGTAGGGTATATTATCGAAACTAGAGTTTGTCGGAACGATAAATTTTTTCTGGAAATTATTACTGTGTAAGCTTACTCATAAATATTGATTTTCTCAAAAAAAACTCACCACTTCTATTGTAACATTCTTGAAACTGTTACTCAAATAAGCGAGCGACGTAAGGAAAATATCTTCAAAAGGTTCCACACTCTTCCACTTGGATATTAAAATTCTAATTGTTATTTTTTTATTAATTGCAGCTGATTTCAGCGCGTTATCAATATCGGGCCAGAACTTTTTTTCGATCGAATAAATTCTCAGCGGGCAATAAAACATAACTGATATATAGATGAATTTCTTCGCTTTATTCATGCAATATAAAATGGCATTTAGATCGTCTGTCCTTCCACTCGGTGACAATTGCGCCGGTGAACTCTAAATAAACATATTTGAAATTTCATTCAAAAATTAAAAAAGATAAAATCGACCATCGAACTGGAAAATACTCACTGAGATAAATGTGCTATATTTGTTGTTAATTGAGTCAGACCAATGCAGTGGATTAGAAATATTGATTTTAGTGCTGAGTACATCAGACCAATTCGCTGGAACTTTTCCTTGTTTTCCGATTTGCCAGTAAACCTTTATTAAACATCCAACTACTTATAATCTATATCAACTTGATAAATTATGGAAAATGTATTTTCTAATTAAATAACACAATTAGACCACCAAATTTGAGGTTAATATAATTATGGACACATCACAGGCCCTTGTGGTCATCGTCACTACTAACTTTTTTAAAGCTTCAAGTTTACATGATACATATAAGCAAATATACATTTTATTTACAATTTTTGTAAAAAATTATTCATAACTTTTTAATTTAAATTTTATACACCCATAATTTATTCTGCCCTCAAAAGCAAAAACGTCGTAAGTCTAAAAAAATTGAGAAACGAGTTACATACATCAAACAAATCGTAAAAATGGCCGTTTAATAATCACACTAAGCAAAAACGCCATACAACTCGTATATTTACTATTTAGTACAGTTCTTACCACTAAAAGCTAGGTTAGTAGGTCAGTTAAGTTAATCAAGTATTTCTGAACTCATTTATTCATATCTTTTTTTTATTCCATTATCACGTAAAATAACAAAAAAATATCCATATCATACTTTGTTGAATATAATGTTAGAAAAATTATGAATTTTAGAAAATGCAAAATATAAAAATCAGTTTGCCTCAAAAAACGTTGTCTAATGACTTACGGAGTTTTTAAGGGCAGTATTTTCATCCGTATGTCATCGGTATTTTGTTCTATTAATTAATTAGGAAATACACGGATAAAATATTTTTCGATACTATAAAAAAGCGAATTGGGTATTTTTGGGGATGCTTATTTTTAGCTTTGGGTGTACTAAAGCCCCCATAGCCCCCTCCTAATTTCGCCTATATCTAATTATCAAAATATATAATTCTTACATCAAATATTTTTCCAACATCGTTGGCAAGAATTGAGCATTTCGTTCCAACAACACCGATCTCTTTGATTTGGGTCAGCGATCTCCAGTCCATATTAGCCGATCCAACATAAAAATGGGTACGATCAATCAACCAAAATTTCGTGTGTAATACTCCACTGCCCCATAGACTAGTGAAATTAAGAGTTACTACCTAGAATATAAGGCCATAAATTTGTATGCATTAAATTAATCGAAGATAGATGTTTATATAAATTACCTGAGCATGGGCATCTTTCTGGAGTATATTTATATCATGGGATGAATAACCGTTAAACGGTATATTTCGTGCTATTTTGAGAGTTAAGTTCCGGTCTCGCCCTGCTTCTAGTAAAGCGTTAAAAATATCTTTACCCTGCATAAAACAAAATATAAAAAAAAACAAAAATAAAATGACTTGTTTCTATTAAAAATAAAATAGAATGATTTGAAAATAAAGACTAACTTCCTGTGCACCATCGTGAGCCGGAAAATCTTGGTCATTTAATGTCCAATAAAACGAAGCTATTTCAATTGTTCTTTTAGCTGAGTGTATAAGATCCATCCAAGTTTGATACGTGCTTTTGAGAACAATCGCATTATTCTCGTAAGTCATGCCAATAGGCATTGATTCGCTCAGAGAAATTTGACAACTGTCCATGCTTGTTGAATCGGAAATTGAATCTATTGTAAGATGTCGTTTAGCCTCTGGTTTTCCGAATAGAATGAGTAATACGACAAACATCATCAATCCATGTGAGCTACAATTATTGAAAACAAATTTTTTTTTTTTTATTATTATTATACAAGTTTTAACTTGAATTTATATTTTCAATAATTTGAAAGTTGTACGAACATTGAGTGGTTTTTGTAGTGGCCAGGATTAACTCGGTCGTTATGAACTAATGGCGGTATTAAATTAGGACTATTGCTTGATACAGCCTAAAAAATATAGTTGAAAAAGATTAAACAATTAGTTTTTAAAATTATTTTGTCTCTAAAACAGATGAAATTTAAAATTCTTATTTATATTATAATTAATTCATTTTTTTTTTAAATTAAAGTTGTTTTTACCTTTTTTTGAGATCTTGAATATGTATTATTGTCATAATTTAGATTTGGTAGAACTTGAGGCATTTTAACAGTAATCAAAAGAATATGTTAGTGTTAAGAAATTGATGCACTAGGTCACCGGTGAATATAAAATTAATTATTATTTTTCAGTGAATTGAAATGTGTTGTGGCCAAAGTCGATTAGTTAGTAGATAAATATTTTTTAATAATGTGCGCTTGCGCAGTATACAGTATAATATCGATTGACAGCGAACATACATGACCACAAGCTAGATAAGACCTATTTTTTCTACAGTAATTTTCAAGGCTTATAATATAAGCTATCTGTATAATATTCTAAAATCAATTGTTTAGAATGATAAATTGTGGAATCGGGAAATTACATTAGATTTTTTTTTTGTCTGTTGCATTCAATAATATACGCAATTGAACTGTTAATTCATATGATATTATATATTTTTGTATATTATTTGCTATTATTATTATTTTTGACATCTGTTTGCAGGTGCGTTTACAAAAAAGTATTTCATGGAGGGGGGGGGGGTAAATGTCGTACTCTTATAAAAAACAATTTTTCATACTTTCAATTGTAGGATTATTTTATAACATTAACTTTAGATTCTGAGTGGAGCGAGGAATGTATTGGTTTTACAATAACATTTAAATTTTGTATTTTTTTTTTCTATCAACAACTATTCTACTAGCAATTTTGCACTGATTTTCAATGATAACACTTTTTTTTGAAAGAAAATCTGATTAAGGTTATACTTTAGGGAAGTCATTTTTTGATTTTCCCAAGAGTTTTTCCAGTAAATGGGAAAACCCGGACAAAACATGGGAAAAACGAGAAAATAGGTACAATACTAAACAAATATTATTAAAGAAAATATATATTGCATATTATGTAATTATATTACCCTAATATGACATATACTTTGTTGACAATACAATATTATTAACCAAACTCCACTCAGAATCGTTTTTTTGGTAGCAATGGTTGTTTATAGATATACATTAAATTACCTATAACAGTGGCTGCAGCCGTCTCCATTTTCCTAGGACAGCCTTTTAGCCTTTTAGGCACTTATCACTAAATTTTATATTTAATATTGTTTTAGTGAATACAGCCTAAATGATAACGTAATTCATATAATTAAATGCCACTAATAACAATATATACTTACTATCTAGTAATCAAAAAAAAAAATAAACCAAAATTGTGTTTATCTTTCTCATTGACAGAAACCACTTTTGAGACTCTATTAAATATCTACTTTCATTATAGTTTTCTATTTTGAATTGAAATTTCGGGGGGGGGGTTGAATCCCCCCTTATACACTCTTCTGGTTGTATTCACAATATACACTCAAACTATTGATGATTAAACTGTATTAAATTTTCTTTTTTACACATTTATTTCTGACAGTATAGTTGCTTTGAGAATTTTTTCCTGGAAATTTTTTTCCCAGATACTTTTCTACGGGATTTTTTTTTCCAGGATTCCAAAAAGGTACCTATTACTTTAAACTTAATTTTATTTTTAGATTACTTAGTACGACTTATAATGTACCTCCTGTTCAATTTTCAAGCATTTCTATTTAGTCTAACAATTTTATTCACAGAGTATCTACCAAATAAAAATTACGTACAAACTCTCAAAAATTAAATTATATATAAAATGGCTCAAAAATAGGTCAAATATTTTGGAAAATTTTACTTTTTAAAAAATTTAATTTAAGATAAATAGCTCAAAAAAAAAAAAGAAAAAAACAGAAGTCCAGAAAATTATATTTAAGTTTTCTGTTGAAATGTCGAGGTTCTACAAATATTTTTAACTGAATTATAAATAAAAAACAAAATTGAAAATAATAAAAGCATTATTTTTCTCATATATCTACATTTTTTTCGCTTTTGCTTAATTATTCATAGAATTACTGAGAAAATTAAAAAATATGTACTTAATGAGTAAGATTTAACGAACATAGTCGCTGGGAATTTTCGAATTAAATTAATATTTCTGTTAGAAAAATTCGTGAAAAAACCTATTTGGCCGAATCCTATTTTGTCGAATTCCATTCTGCCGAAAATTAAAAAAAGCCTTTTACGTTATCTACGTATTATTAATGACTAAACTTAACTGCTGGCTATGAAACACCTATAAAAGGATGTTTGTTCTATTTTGGTCAAGCAATTTGGCGGAAGGTTCAATATTTAGGACTTACTCATGATTATAAACAAAATGATGAAATAAAAAAAAACGGTCTGTCGTATTTGTAGCTTTGCTTTAATACCAAAAGACCAAATCTATTGTTGGACAGAAATTTATGCTCAAGCACCTCAACGTGAAGGTAATATTTCAAATTTGTAAAATAAAATATATTATTCTATTGTATGTAAATAAATTATTTAGGTTTGGATAGGTTGATGAGTTATTTCGTAAAAACTTATTTGGATACCGACATCTGTATATTTAGTCGCAGCATATGGAACCACTATGAAACAGACCAGGACAATACGAGGACAATCAACCATCTCGAAGGTTGGCATGCAGCTCTTAACCGAACTATGTATCGACCACATCCCGATTTTTTTATTTGATTAAAGAATTAAAAAAAAGTAGTTACACAATTTTGAGCTTGATATTCTGTCCCCCCAAAAAATGCAATCAAGCTCCAAAAATGAGAAAAAAATACAAAACGTTAGAAGACAGATTAAAAATTGCAAAAATCGGTAAATACTATCTAATTGATTAATTAGATAGTATAAATTAATATATATTATTCATACATTCAAAATACACTAATACCTAAAATGCATGTTTTAATATAGATTCGGAAATAGACAAATAACGATCATGCTATATCTAGACGCGATTATCTATCACTTTCATCTAGATTAAAGTAAAATGTAATGTATGTAATATGTAATTTAATGTAATTGTAATTTTATATATTGACGGATATTTTTTTAATATAAAACGAAACAAAATTCAGTAAAACAATGGCATAGTATTTAATGTTTCGATAAAATGAAATATCGTTGAGATGGAATTTGGCAAAATGGGCCTGGCGTGTCGTAAAAATTTGTCGTTTTTCCGATAAATATAAATTGTTTTCCAGTTTTTACTAAATATTATGAAAACTTCTTGGAAAATAAAAATGCACCAATTAGATAAAATTTCTTTTGAGAAAATGTACTATACTTGATATACTGGAGCAAGATTTCTGGTAGAAGAATTGCTCACAGACACACAAAAAAAAAAAATAGAGTGCTGATACTGATAACCGGTGATAAACCATTGCTAATCAAAAACGATTCAGAGCTAAGTTCGGTAAGATATATTTTGAAATAACATAATTTTTACTATTTTCGATAAAATTTGATTTGAAAAGGCTTGAAAATTTGTTTCCTGAATACCTACTGAATAAAATTTACGTGAAATACTCGCAAAATTAAAATGTCTATAAATAGCTCAAAATGATCCAAATTGATTGAAAATGTTACTACGTTTAGAGAAAGGACACATACGTTTTCTGTAATAATTCTGTAATATTTCTGCAAAAATTAAAAATAATGAAATCTGTAATGTTGTAAAGCATCGTAAATATTTGCTAATTACCTATAATTGTGTTTCCGTTTTTTCTTAATTATTTTGAAAACCTTTTGGAAAATTAAAAAATGAACCGTTTAATGCACCAACTAGATAAATTTTATTACGGAAAAAGTGCTACACTTAACGGAAACATGACAAATGCTGTCATTGATTTATAAAATACACGATGTGATTCAAGTAGACAAATTGGTTCGTTGGGAGGTACCTATTATAAAAATATATGATTACATTATTATTATCATCGATAAATTTCCAATCTAAATAATTTAAAATATGTTGGACAATGGTTATTACAAAATAAATCCGTTTTAGAGACACTCGAGTATAAAAAAAAAGACGACCGAGCGGGGTTGTTTCAACACCTAGATTACCACTCCCCCCCCTTAAATACGTCTATGTTCGTATTGCACGTATGCGTCCTATTTTTACTCTCATCGTTTTATTTTCTCGTATATATATACCTACCTACATACCTTCCAACCTACATAAAAGAACGTTTCATTTTTTTTCATTCTTAAAATTTCCGAACGGAGTACATCACGCATTATTATAATAATGTTCGTACTCGACACTCGTATACATATATAATATAGGACTTACAGGTAGGCATACGGTATGGACCGCACGACATTAAAGGGCTCTGAATAAAAGAAGTGTACGTCGCTCGTCACCTATTCCTCATGTTCGTGTCGCCTTATTCATATACAATAATGGACACTGCCTATGTATTATTTAATGTGTGTGTACACCGAGTGTTTGGGACGTTTTCGAGATGTAACATCGCGATAACGTCATTCACACTGATCGCGACCGACTCTGCGAAGACGTGCTAAATGACACACATTGAATTTGCACTCTTCGTTTTTATTTTTTTCCTTCAAATCCGAAAAAAAAGCTTACACATCAATGTGTTCAAAGAACACATTCTTCGACTCCGCGCACAATTGGAGTTTATATTCGTATATATCCATTGAAATTATTAAGTAAACTATAATAATAATAGTACGAACGCCGCCGTCTAACATCTGTTTCGCTTTACCGAAAATATCCATCATTTTATAGGTATACCCTAAATATATACGTACGTTCGTACGTCGACAAAATGCAGTAGCATTTTCAATAGGTGAACGTGTTTCGAGTTGTTTTCGACCGAAGTGAAAATATTACGGTAGATAATTTTCAGTTTGAATGAGTTTTGATATTTAAACGGTATTTCGTACCCGGGGAGAAGTATTTAAGTGTATCCCGGGGTATACGCACATTGATTTTTAGGAAATAGTTTTGTCTCAGTTTACTATCTCGCTTAAATAAAACGTCAAACTGTTATTGTATAGCTATAATACCACGTGGAACGAAAAAATAAAATAAAAAAAAAACAAATTTGTTACCTGCAGGTATCTTCATTGTAGCACACGCTACGTGGTCCTTGCTCCGTTGGTGGCTTTAATTCTATTACGATTTCCATATTATTGTTATCAAACGATCAGTTTTATATGAACGGTTACCGAAATATTTACGATTCATCTTCGGTAATGGCCTGATAACGGTTGTCGACTGGGAGATCTAAAATATACTGAACAAATTAAATGAATGAAAAA